AACATCTCAGGTATAAATCAAGTATATGATGCAAAGACTAGTTCTTTAACTCAAAATCTATTGGTGAAACAGGGTTCTGCATAATTTATCTTATATTTGTACTTTGTAAACTGAGGGGCAGTATTATCTATATACAGTGAAACCTGTCTAATCCGACATGCACTGGGTGACAAATATTGTATAATAGACAATATATTGCACAGTGTTAAAAACAAGGAAAATATAAAATGGGAATAAATTTAATTCAATTCACAGTGTGTCGGATTATTCAGGTGTCGGATTAGACAGTTTTCACTGTAGTTATTTTTAAAGCAATATGAGCTGTAATTTTAAGAAATCTATTTTGCTGTTAAAATGTGTAATTATGATTAATTCGTATGTTATTTAAACCCTTATGATCAATAAAACCAAATAAAATATTAGATTGTTTCAGAGGAAATATTTCTGTATAATCAAATATATAACATTTTTAGCTCTACTGGTCAGAGACCAGAAGAGCTTATGCGATAGTAATGCGTCCGGCGTCCGTCCGTCTGACCGTCTGTCTGTCTGTCTGTCTGTCTGTAAACAATTTTTCAAAATGCTACTCCTCCTACAGTTTTGGTTTGATTTCAATATAACTTGGCACACAAGTAGACTACACTAAGATACATAATTCTGTGTATCGGTTTTTGATTTCGATAAACGGTGTTGCGGTGGTAACTAAAATTAGAATTTCTGTAAAATTGTTTCAAAATGCTTTTCCTCCTACAGTTTTGGTCTGATTTCAATATAACTTGGCACACAAGTAGACTACACTAAGATCTATAATTGTGTGTATCGGTATTTGATTTCCTTGAATGGTGTTGCTGTGGTTACTAAAAATAAAAATGTCTATAAAATTGTTTCAAAATGCTACTCCTCTCAAGTTTTGGTCTGATTTTAATATAACTTGGCACACAAGTAGACTACACTAAAAACATAAATAGGCTTAATCAAGGATCATTATTCTATGTATTGCTGTTGTAAAGTTTCAATTCCCAACTGCTTAAGTACTTTTCTCTTCCTTTGCTATAAGTACAAACCAGTAGAGCTTCAGTCTCGACAGAGACTTCTGGTTTCATTATTATAACTAATCAATATTGTGCAGGACAACAATAATGGTATTTTGCTTAAATTAAAACATATAAAAGGTTAATCTCACGCGAATATACTGTAAGTTGTTTAATGCTGCAGTGTTAAATTTTCACGATAACTCAAAAAGTTCCATTTGACTGTGATGGTTTAAAATTCATGGTGCAAAAAATAATTCATAATTTCGTATAAGCTCTAATTTACTAATGGTAATAACATTCATGATGGGTTAAATTTTGCGGAAAGATGGTGAATGGCGAACATAGCAAAATATAACCATTGGGATTATTTGCCAATCTACAGTAAACAACAGAAGTTTATAATATTAATTTTTCTATTTTTCTGTCATTGAAATACATGTAGTAAATTATACAGTTTTGCATTAAAAATTTCTGACATCAAAGTTGCACTGAGTGAGCTCGCAGTATTTACATTCGCTGTGTTTTTCTACTAAGCCAACTGTGAAATTGATTTGAAAGTCATTTTTGTGTATACTAACGCGTAGAAACATACACTGAGAAACGTTTAAGTTTAGTGTGAATTATTGGTGTGTGAATCACACAGACTTGCACATATTTTTCATGAAGCACTAGCGCGATGCATGGAACATGCCTACGTGACAAGTCTGTGTGATTCACACACCAATAACTCAAACATAACTTTAAAACATTCCTTAATTAATCAGGGGATGACAGATCAATTTTTAAGGCACTTGCATACAAGCTTAGGACAAGTAATGCGTTCTCTTATCAGTCTGAATGAACAGTGTTGCTGCAATCCTGCTTAAAAAGAATATCACTTTTGGCTTTTTTGTTCTTAATACATCTACTCTTCTCTTGTTGTTCTTATTGGTATTGAAAAAAAATGTGAGAAATATAATTGCAGGCTAAAGTCAATTTAGAAAAATATTGTACATTTTTCACATGACCAATCATCCGGTATTTTTTATAACTGTGCATGTTGCTACTATACCAGAAATGATTTTTTTTTCTTCTGCGATTTTTAGGTCACCTGAGTAAACTCAGGTGACCTATTGCTATCTGTTTTCGTCCGTCGTCATGCGTCGTTTGTCGTGCGTTAACATTTGAACATTTTTAACTTCTTCTCTGAAACCACTGAACCAATTTCAACCAAATTTGGCATATAGCATCTATGGGTGAAGGGGAACAAAAATTGTGAATTTCATGGTCCCTGCCCCCCGGGGCCTGGGGGGTGGGGCAAAAACCACTAAAATCAGTGCTATCTTTAAAAATCTTCTTCTTTACTCCTGGACATCAAGCAGTCAAACTGTTTGTATGATTGTAATCAGCATTGAGTCCTCTACCAAAATTGTGAAATTCATGGCCCCAGGTCAGGGGTTCTAGTGCTAGGGCAGGGCTAAACAGGTTATATAGTGAAAATGCATTATTTCTTTAAATTTCTTCTTTTCTGCTCCTGGACATTAAATAAACTAACCAAGTGCATAGGTAAGTTGAAAATGACTACCTTTTTCAAAATTGTGAAATTTATGGCCCCAGGGTCAGGGGTTCTAGTGCTAGGCCGGGGCTATATAGATTATATAGTGAAAATGCATAAATTCTTTGAAATTCTTCTTTTCTGTTTGTGGGAATTAAATAAATTAACCAAGTGCATAGTTATGTTGAATAAGACTGTCTCTTCTCAAATTATGAATTTAATCCCCCCAGGATCAGGGGTTCTAGTTGTAGGGTGGGGCTATATAGATTATTTAGTGAAAATGCAAAAATTCTTTGAAATTCTTCTTCTCTGCTCATGGGCATTAAATAAACTAACCAAGTGCATAGTTATGTTGAATAAGGCTGCCTCTTCCAAAATTTTGAATTTCATGGCCCCAGGGTCAGGAGTTCTAGTGTTAGGGCAGGGCTATATAGATTATTTAGTAGAAAATGAATTATTTCTTTGAAAATCTTCTTCTTTGCTCCTGAGAATTAAATAAACTAACCAAGTACATAGTAATGTTGAATAAGGCTACCTCTTCCAAAATTATGAATTTCATGGCCCCTGGGTTGGGGGTTCTGGTGTTAGGGCAGGGCTTTATTGATTATACAGTGAAAATGCATAAATTCTTTAAAACTCTTCATTTCTGCACCTGAGTATTTAACCAATGAACTATGCACATAGTTATGAGGAGGAAGGATGCCTCTTTGAGATTTTTTAATTTCAGGGTCCCTGGATTAGGGCTTCTTGTGTTAGGGCAGGGCTCTAATGTTTATATAGTGAAAATGCATGTCCTTATATAGCCAAATGAATATATTTATGACAAAAAACCTGCTTCCTTCAAAAATGGTTAATTATTCGGCCCCTGGGACAGAGGTACTTTGAGGGTGGTGGTGGTGGTGGGGGGGGGGGGGTACAAAGTCTGAAATAATTTAATGCTTTGAAATCTGCACTTTGGTATTAATCAATAGCATTGTGAAATTAAATTTTAAAAAATTTCTAAAATTTTGAAAGATATGGCCCCGGGGTCAATGGTTCCTGTGGGATTGGGAGCTAAACTGTTGACCAACCCTAACACAAGTAGCCCTGACCCAGGGGCCCTGATCTTCACGAAAAGTAGAAATGCATTTTCTCTGTGTTGTTCTGATCTACCTCTGGGTATTAAGTAACCAAAATAAGCATGCTGAGTGCATATTTATGATAAGCAATGGTGCCTCTTTCAAAATTGTGAATTTCATGGCCTCTAGTTTAAAACATGAATCAAATTCAATTGTTGGAAAGTTGTCGCATGATACTCAGGTGACCTATAAGGCCCGTGGGCCTCTTGTTGTTTTATTTGTCTATAGGGGAAATGGTATACACATTCATTGGTGGATATTTTCTTATAATACAATAGCGATAAAATAATCTGAGTTGAAGTAATTGTCCTTTTCTGTAGCATGTGCATATTTCATATTGTAAAAACTTGAGGGAATAGAGGTCATTAAAATATGCTATGTACGAAGAAATAACTACTTTTGCATTTTTCTGTATATGTATATACATGTAATAGGATATTGTTTCAAGGATACATTTAATGGAAACATAAGTTAGCAGTCATTTTTCTACAGCAAGTTTGAGTTAATAATATCAAATAAAAACATGTGTAACCAGGCTCCAAACATTTATCATAAAAAAATAAGCAATGAAATTTTTGGAAATAACAAACAGTATTTGAGCTCAAAAGTCCAGTAAACATTACAAAATAGGGAGAGAGCACGCATGAACCTCCAAAACATCAGATGTGGATCAGGTGCCATGGAATCAAATGATTTTACAAAAGCTGTGTATGAGATCATATATTACAAAAATATATTTTACAAATATGTGCATTAGATTCACAATAGAGTAATTCAGTCCTAGGAGTAATTTATAGACTAGTTATTGTTCATTATAATAGCTGTCTGATATGCATTGATCTTGACTGGTAAGACTAAAACAAAAACAAGATAATTCAAAAGTAACTAGTTTATTATATACAACACAGCAAAAATATCTACACACTACAATTTAAAACATTCAGATTGGAAAACTGAGGACATACAACTGTTCTGCAATTACAACTAAAATATGAGTTTTCCACTTAAAAAACAAGTTGAATCATATGGGGGATTTGTATATGTGTTTAATAATATATCATCATATCCCCTTATATAGGTAAACCAATCAGGTATAGTGAATGTGAAGGGTTATTACTCAAGGTGCTGATGTTGGCTACAGGAAAACTTATATGGCATAAGCCTATTCTTGAGTTATGTTCAGCTTTTAATTAATGCAATGACTTTTTCCAACCATGGATTCGAAGTAATTTAAAAATGTCTTGTTTCTCAAATGTCATAGGAGATTTTTTAATTTGAAAATTTTTGTTTTTACAACTGGTTTCTTTATCACAGGGAGACCTCAGACAGATCAAATGGGGATAGAGCAAGGTATGTCATGTAGACTCTTTAGCTCAATGCTTTGACAATTTGTACAGAGCGTATAAGCATTATAGAAAGTAGATTAGTGTGTATCAAGAATCCATGAGCCAATTTTATCATATTTTTTAAGAGCACCTTTCATCCATCAGGGTAGAAGTTTTCGAGAACCAATCATGAAAGTGATTAAAGTTGCTTAAAAGGTTTTCGTTTTAGAACTATTTTGCAGAGTTTCACCAAACATACGAAGTTTGTGGACTCTTGTCGTATCTTTTTTATTTAACGTCTTATGCTATCCAAATTTGGAAAAAAATATTTTAACAATAAATTCAAACAGTTTGTATTATAAAGTTTGAAATTACCCTGATTCATTTTAAACCTTTTCAGAATTAAAAACTGCAAAAATGGGACGGCGGAGCAGTTAAATTTAATGATTCACAAAGAACACACTAAATAAACATGATTACAGCAAAACTTGTTTAGTATGAACACAGATATTGCGAATTCACAGATATAGTGAAGTTAACTTTGACCCCCAGCTATATAAATGTAACGAATTCTTTATATGGATATAATGAATTACAAATATAGCGAAGTAATTTTACAGGTTCCAGTGACTTCGTTATAATGAAGTTTAACTGTATTATGTTTTAAAGTGTAGTTGACTTTTCCCCCCGTTTTATTATATACCTGAGCCAAAATCTGAAGTTAGTACCAGTATTTTTCTGAATAGAATTTGTCATTTTTGTAAGTCACTATCATACACTTTTCCCATTTTCATTTTTCTGTCTAGAAACAGTGGACCAATTCTATAGTTTGCACGAAATATTTTTGGTTAACTTAAAGTGGATTCAAGCTTGTCGGGGCTATGTCCGTTTCCAAGGGGATATAATGAAGAAAAGGCAAAAAATTGAGTGAAGCCATCCAAAATTTTCTGAAAAACCACTAGCCCAGAAAAATGTTTTTTTTTTTTTTTTTTGGTAAAAGCTGTCTGACAAAGGTCTATGTTTAATTAATTCTATATATTTCAAAGACAACACTTTATCCCTATAGTCCCTGACATATATTTACACTAACAGTAAGTTGAATCTATCATTTATACGGAAAGGTTAAGTAAAATTGATAAATAATAATACCACATGATTTGCAAATATTTACATAAATTGATTCATGCAAATTAGTTAATACTCATTTGTTTGAAATTAACGGGGAAAAAATCCTCCCTCTCTTGTACATATAGGTTTCAGAGCTTTTAAGTGACAAGTACCGGGTAAAAAAAAATTTCAAGAATCTCAAAATGAACAGCAGAGTCCTTATTAGACACATAGATTTTCAAGACTCCTCAATTAGTGGCTTTGCAGATTCAAGTTTGTTGAAATCGTGGTTCCTGGGAAGGAAGATACAATAAGGGATCAAAGTTTTATATGGAAATATATAGGCAAAAATCATTCAGAATCTTCTTTCAAAAAATGGAAGCAGGGCTATGATGAGTGACATTAATATGCAAGAACATTCAGATAGTGCAGTTGGAAAGCATTCCATCTTTTGGGGAGGAGGAATGAGGGGCCATGATAGGGAATCATTTCAAAATATATTTTCAAAAGTAGCAGGGTGCAGCACAAAATCATATAATTATGCAAAGATTCAACTTTTGTGGATTTAATTTCTTTCATATCATGAACCCTAAGGCGGTGTCAATCTTTGCAAAAAAAAAAAAATATGCATACAGGAAAGAATTTCTTTTAAAATATCTTCTCAGCAAGACCATGTCAATCATATTGAAAGTGATCCCAATTATGAGTGTGCATATTGTATTCAAGTTTGATTACTTTATGACCCTTTAAGGTTTAGAGCGGGCCACAACATAGGGGGGAGGCAAAATGTTTTAGGGGGATGTTTTAAAATTTGTTCTGAAGAGCTTAATTTTCTTTAATCATATTGGACTTAAACTGTAAGAGGAGTAACATTTCAAAAGAATTGCACTAACACTACTGAAAGCAATGCGTATCTATAACTGCATAAATACAGGTACGTGGTCAAGAGGTAATAGATGTGTGTATGGATAAACGTTCGACGTAATTTCTCAGTGACGTCATAAAGGGTCAATGCGCGTTCAGTGGATTACATACATGCCATTGGGTTTGAAAAATAATGCATTTCACACATTTAAAGTCACAATCAGGCAAATATAAAGTATGAATAAGTCACAAATGTAAATATAAGTAATAAGGTATCATTTTAAAACATCTATCGGGATATAAATAGGGTTGGTACGAGATTAAATTCATCATAAAAGCCCATATGGAATTTAATCTCGTGACCAACCCGTATTTATATCCCGATAGATGTTTTAAGATTATACCTTATTTCTTAAATACCCATTGAAAGTACAGTGTATATTGAAACTGAACCAAAACAAAAGGAGGGAGCAAAAATGTTTTGAAAAACGTTTACAGAGGAACAAACAGAATGACAATTGACACAATACCATTACACAAGTTTTTTTTTCTGTTCTTGATTACTAGAGCTGAAAAGAATGTCATGTATTTGTATTCACTGTGATATATATATCATTTGATTTTAATTTTATCGGTGCACATTTGCTTGATTTTAGGTCCCCAGCATCAGCATCTGCAATTAAAGTAGAGGCAGAGTATGTAAACACTATTTGAAATTTTCTTGTGTTTCACTTTATTTTTCACTATCAGTGTTTCTATAATAATTGTTATTTCTATTTGCCTTTAATCAGTAGACCTAATCACTCAAATGCTTCAAGTTTGGTTGTGGACATTTTCAATAATTAGATGTAATATGTGTTTTATTCAGCTAAAAATTATTGACCATTGAACTAAACAGAAAATTATCAGATATAGTAGGACGTTTTCTACAGGTGACCTATTAATTGCTGTTTTTCTTTGTTGTTGGCATGGCTTGTCTGTCTTTCATAAAATTTTGACTATTTCAGTTTTTTCTTTGCATATTGGCACACATGAATAAAGGGGCTAAATAATGTGAGCATAGATTCCTTTGGGTTGGGAAGTATATATGCATGGTTTTTTTTTTTTTGTTTTTTTTTTTGAAAATGCAGTTCTTAACTAACTTATATCGAGCTGAGGGAGTCAAAATTGCTTTGTTCAAAATAGTTTAAAATCTAGTTTAAAGATATGAAGAGCATTAAATAAATGAATAAATATTGAGTTTAATTCTTGGATTTCAGCAGCTTTACGTATTTACTCCCAAGGGAAAATGTTCAAAGACAACTAAAGTATTGATGAGCAGAAATTGTGCTTACTTTAATGAGAACTACTGCTAAACTGTACACACAAGCAATGTCTTGATGTAAAGAATGTTTGATTTTATTACACCCCCACTCCGAAGGAGAGGGGGATATACTGTTTTACCCTTGTGTGTCCATCTGTCTGTCTGTCTGCACATGTCCAATTACAAATTTTCATCACATTTTCTCAGCAACTACTCATAGCAGATGCTTGAAATTTTAACACAATCTTCTCTGAGGTATAAAGTGGGATTAATTTTTTTGTTCAAATCAGATGTCAACTTCCTGTTTATCTTTGCGTCTGTCCATTTCATACATAACATTTTCGTCGCAGTTTTCTCAGCAACTGCTCATCGCAGATGCTTGAAATTTTAGTACACTCTTTGTTAAGGCATGTCATATGGTTGGATTCATTTTAGTTTACTTATGATGTCAACTTATCTATGCATCTGCTTGTATTTTAACTTGTGTATATTAACATGATATTGTATTTTCACATCAGAGCGGGGGTATTACTAGTGAGCATTGGGTCACAGACTCCTTGTTATAAATTGAGTAATACACCACGTTATTTTAGATCTAATTAAGCCAGAGTAAGTGCAGATCACTTTAATAACTGCAAAAAATATTTAAAAACCTCTTAAATGGTAAATGTGCATAGTATAGAGGTCCTTCAATTCAGTGTTAGGTAGTCCTTGATGAAAGAAACTTTCTCATAAATATGCAGTCTTGTATGTTTACTATTTACACGTTTGTCGTAACATTGCTGTAATGTATTGCATCGATCTCCTTAAAAAAAACTGTAGTAAAATTGCAACATTTGAATCAAGTTATTTTATATATAAAGAAAATATGGAAGAAAACCTAAACAAGTAAAGCCTAAGTTGATCATAAAGTTATTTAATTCTGGCTTCTTTGCAATGCATAGTTGACCAAATTTTCTTGCTTTTCTTTTACTGATGACCATGTACATGCATTGTTTATCAGTATATATTGCAAATTGATAATCATTCTGTTTTTCAAAGGATGATGTGACATAACTGCTATCTGGGGCCCCTTTTTCCACGACGAATTATATTTAATCTACAACGATGTTGTTAGTTTTCAAACATGAGTGAATAAATACGACGCCTTTTAAATAGTTTCAATAGTTATGACACATTTTAATTTTAAGGAATACTGCATTATCTTTGATTTTTTAGACCCTATCACAGCTAAATTCGGCCAGGTTTGTGAGAACATTTTTTTATGACAAGAGAATGGGCGGGTCTTAGTACAATAGAGGGATATGCGTGTCCGAGAAGACCTTATATGGCTATTGTTATTATTTCGCACTTAAGGTCAGAAGACACGTTCCTCAAATATATGTTTTGAATTTCTTGGTATTTTATAACAAATTATTCATAGTTGTCATTCTCTTTTGATTTCTACATTGTTTTAAAAATGTTTTTGAAATTAAGTACACCAAAAATTGTGTTATAGGCTATTTAGAAGATTGCCCATAAGGTTTATATGAGAAACATGACCCTATGGTATCTTGGTCAAATGCCTGGTAAGGTACCCTAATTTTTTGTGAGGAAACTTGTTTAAATACATATACTTCAATAACAAATTCTTAGGAAAAATTATATATTTTTGAGGAACATGTCGTCTGACCTTAAGTCATTGTCCAATCCGATGACAGAACAACAAAACATGCTGGTTTACTATGTGTACATTTTATTGCAGACACGTGGTTTAGGTAAATTTACCTGTTGTCCTTTTCTACATTTCAAACTTTTATAATGGTCAGCCAATGCTTTTTATACTTAATAATACGCATGGATTTTCAGCATTTACGGTTTTTAGGACAAGAAATGCATATGAAACTTGTATTCACCGATACTCGGGAATACGTGTAGACCTAGCGAATTGCTCACCAAACACGCGAAAAAAAACTTAAATGTATATCATGTATATTCTATCAATTGTTTGCAACTGTATATAAATTCTACAGTGGTCTCGGAAATGGTACATATGTAGATCCGTGTCTAATCTGTGACTCAAATGCATAAAAAATATCGGAAAGCAGTAAAATTCCAAGAATGTATCCATAGTATTTTTGTGGTACCTTAACGAATTTCATTTAGCTGATTGGGCAGTAGAAAGTCGCCTGTGCCTCGATTTACATATGAATTCATTCTTGCGTCAGAAAATCTAGTTCCATTGATCTCTTTATAATGGGAACGGCCAACTAGATTTTACATTTTTTTTAAAATTAGCACATGAGCGCAGTTAGGTACAATTTTCTCCTTTCACATATACTAGTAGATAGATTTCAATAAAATACAGTGACCAGCCAAAGGAGAAAACTGTACCTATCTGCGCTCGTATATTTTAAGGGCTTCAAAGAGTGGGGCGGGGTTAAAATGCAATGGGAATTGCATGTAAACATGATACCCCTACCCCATTAAAAGATTTATATATTTCAAATCACGTTGCTATTTTTGTTAAAAATAGTATTCTATAAAAGTACACATAACAGTGATTAGTTACATACAAAAATTTGAGTAAAATTTTGACATTTAATTTTCTGTCAGTATACGAGGGGCCGCAAGTCACCTCATCCTTTGATTTAAAGTGTGTGAAATATATTAATATTTGCTAGATATTTGATTTAAAAATTGTTTCTGTTGCATATTAAACCTAATAGTTTTCTATATCCTATAATTTCAGATAGAAATAGGGAAATGAAAGTAGATTTCCAAGTACATAGTAACAAGCACAAAAGGATTCGTCACCATTTATATGAAGATCGAAATTGAATATAATAGTGTATTCTAAAAAGACATTTTAAACTATAGAACACTTTACATTTTAGTCCTTTTTTCTGTACTATGTTAATTGTAGTTATCATGACTAGTTTTAGCTATTTTTTCTTTAGTGTGTACACTGTCTATCTGGTGATTTGATAACTAACATCACACTTACATGCATAGTCAATCATTAATCTTTTAGAGTTGAGTATTGCAGTATTGCATTACCAAAAATCAATACTGCATTGCTGAATATTTGGAAATTTTCATTAGTATCATACGATATAGTGGGTCTTTGTTCCAGGTTTTTGCTAACCTAAAATGTAATTTTTATGCGAACCTTGAGCATAAACGTTAAAGAAATTGGAAATATTGTGTTAAAATTTGAGAAAATGATCCTTTTGCCCTCTTATGTGTTTGTATATCAAAGGCAGATAATTTCAATCCTAGTGAGATTTTGAAATTATGGAAATTTTATACAAAATGTATACTTTAATGTTACATGAACTAGAGGAAATTTTGTAATATATGAGATTTAATTTTTCACCTTCATAGTAGTATTTGTTGCATCATGTCATTTTGCTCGCCTTTGTTTGCCCACCCTCTTTTCGGTAATGATATCTGATATTTTGGGGGGGAAGTGAAAGGAAGTAATTTACAGTAATGATAAACGTGATCAGACTCAGTTTAAAAAAATTTGGGTAATGCAATACTGCCTATAGTGTCTTTGTTACTAAGTGATGAAAGCTCTTCACTGCACATAATTGATTGGTTTGTTTTAAGCATTATGTGTGTTTTTAGTGCTTTTAATAATTGATGAATTCAGATTATGATAAATATTGATAATCAACAAATACCTGTATATTTCTAATTTAAGTCAGTTCAAATCCACAATTTAGTACAATGCATTTTAAAAAATTATGTTAATAGGAAGGCTTTCATATAAATTTTGAATAATTAAGTTTCCCAAGATATGAATGCAGAAATTGCTTTATCCTTTACGCTTATTAAGATTGGAATTATATGATGAATGTGATCTGATATGTTTCCAAAATCTTGTTATATATTAATGAAGTTTTATCTCAAATGAGACAAGGACTGGGAAATCAAGTAGGGAGAGGAAAGGTTGGATATACTAGTATTGTGGAAAATGCGAGGGAGAGTTTCGTTTCTGATAGATTTTTAGCAAAACCAATAAAAATTCAGTTTCCTAATTATATATGATAAATCAATGTTTTAAACAAATATGTCTTCATAGTCTTGAATAAAAATAAGGAAATTTTACTTTATTCAGGAACTTTAAGCTGATTCTTATCACTTAGTTGATTTTGTCAGCATTCAAAAGAAATTTTTGTACCTGTTACATGTATATTAAAACATAAACTCCATTACTATATTCAAGAGCTGTCTTGCAAAATAAGAAATGTACATGTAGTTTTATCAGTATTTGGTATTAAGGGACAATTGTTATTTGTGTTGTCTTTAAAGCTTTGTTTGTAAACAGGATACAGTATTGCTTTATTATTGTTATATTAGGAACAAATCTCATATTAAGCCAACTGGAAAAAAGACTGAGGAAAGTTCTTTACATATCAAGTCGTATGGAAGTCCTTTGCCTGAAGTACCAAAAGTCCGCCATAATCAGCTGGATCCCATCCCAAAGTCCGACAATGGAGAAATGGATAATTCTCATGATAAGCCATACACCAAGCTGTATGGAAGTCCTCTGCCTGAAGTGCCACAAGGTCGCAGCATTCCACTAGTCCCCATCGAAAGGCAAGACATTGATGAAATGGAGAGTCCAAAAGTAGAGAAAAAAAAGAGGAAAAAGAAGAAGAAGAAGAGGGAGGATTCTGTGGATAATGAAGAGGACAATTAAAGACAAAGGCAGAATTTCAGTATCAGATATTTACAACAGAATGAAGAATAATTATCAATGAAGAACAACTTCATTATAATTTCCACTTGTATGATAAAATAGAAAATCCGAGTGATATTTTATTCAAATATAGTAGAGGTGCATGTTATTAGATTTTTTTTAAGTGCTATATATTTGTTTGAAAATTGTGCCATATGGTTGCATGTTTGATTTTTTTATTTATTCTCATTTGAATGATTGGTGCATGACTAAAATATTTTCACATGCTATAAATTTATATTTAATTGAGTGCTCATTAACTGAAAAATGTTGTAAATATCTTTTCAATTCCTTTTGCTGATCTATGATTTCATCTATATTTCTAGTCCTGGAAGAATTTGATCCACTGCACAAATTTACGCACTGTTACTCTGTGTTTTCATCAAGTTTGATAAGTATCTGAAATAGCAATTCTAATATCGCAAGTTATGCATAATTAATTCAACATGTTCTTTTGTATTTACTGATTGTAATATATGTTCCAGTTCTGTCATGAAGGAGGTTTGATGTTAACTCCATGAAAATTAAAACCTTATGAAATGCATACTTCTTAATAACCAAAAATAACATCAAGCCTTCTTAGATTAAAAATAATCGCTTTTTATACAATTTTACCGTCCCTATTTTAAATAAATTCATTTAAAATGTGTGTATTGTGATTTTTTGAATGGTTTTGGTTAATAATTATTCACTGTGTTATCAATGACTTTCGATTTTCGTCAGTTATAATGTACTACTGTGCGGGCGTGGTGTTCAGACTGACGAGTTCGATTGTCCGTAGCCAGATAGCTCATTTAAGTTGCTTGAGCACCTGACTGACTGGAGATTTCACTGGGTCTGTTAAACTCTCTTATTTTTATATGTCAAGGTCATGTGCAATCCAACCAATCAAAAAATACGGGCAATGTTAAAGTTTTTGCGTACAAACAGACATACGGACGGACAGGGCATATAAAAACTATATACCTCCGAATATATTAATCTTGTTCTGAAATAATTACGTAAGTGTTTGCTTTATTAGAGATCTGATTTTTGAGTCCCCTAGAGGTTAAGAATAGTGAAATTTACATCTATATGTATAGCGAATGAAATGCATAGGTCCCATAGGACTTCGTTATAAGCGAGTTTTACTGTACACTGAGCATTGTTAATCAAATTAAAGAGCATTGTAATTAATCTAATTAAAACTTCCTGATTACTTCCCACATGTATATTTTAAGAATATACGTATTGAACAATAAAATAAAAGATGTAGAGAGAGAATACATGTAAATGATAAAATAAGTAAATATGTTTGTAGACTACTGACAAAAGCCGATAATATTGTTGACGTATACATATAACGTATTTCTTTGGGTACCTTGGATGAAATGCTATCATTGTTTCGTGATTTTTAACCTAACTTTTGAGCTGTAAATGCCGAATCTCTATACCTTGAATATCTTGTATTTAAATCTTCCTGGTTGAGATTGTATTATTCTCACGTTCAATTAAAATTCAAGTATTTTAAAACTTGTCGGTCATGTCACGAATATATAACGCCCTGCTCTTTCGTACACCTGGATATTAAATTGCATTTTTATGTCCCACAATAAAATGAATGCAAGCGTTCATGCAAGGAAGCGATATATAGCTAATTGAATTACAAAGATGTGATCAGTTATCAATTACAATTATCCTTCAGAGTTTAAATGTCCAGTCAAACAATCGATTTTGGTAGAGAGAGAACAAAGTTACGCACTATAAAATACAATAAAATATAGTGAAATATCTTGTCAAGTTGTAATATTCTGAAAGGAAAAAGAAACGCACAGTAAACTTTTGAAGTAAACTTGTCAAAATCTTTTGTGATTTTGACTTTTAATCTACTAGTTATTGAAATACGTATGTCGATACCCTCAAAAGTGAAAGTGAAAAGAAACACGCACGCTAACTCTCGATTCCCGCCTACATTTTGGAACCATTTAATTCAATATGAATAGCAATTTGGTCATAAAATCTTTGTTTAATACAAAGAACAGTTCAATGGTAATTGATAAATCGTCTTAATACCAGCGCTAAACAGTAAATTTTCCATAATTCCAGCTCTTGAAAAAAGGGGGGTAGACGATATTTTCCATTGAAATCGGAGTTTCAAGCATCACCGTATTTTGAAATACTCTTGGATATGATTAAATGATCCTTATATCTTTTCTTATGTTTTAGGCAAATAGATAAAACATAAATATTTCAATAAAATGTAATGTTTCAGTTGTATATCGCTTTAAATTTGGTGGAAAATAAGCATTTTTTTCGTTTTTTGTCAATAAACATCTGTTCCTTTGGTATGAATTTGTAAAATACCATTCCATATTACCTGTAAGAAGGAATTTTTGTGACACGGGGGGGGAAAGGTGTTTTAAAAATATTTTCCGTTTTCCATTGATTTTTATAGTGAAAAACACAAGTTTTACCAAAATTTTAGAGTTATCTCTCTTTGTTTTCCCAAATAAGTAATGTTTTATGAAAATTCATATAATTATCTATAAAAAATATTAAAAATTCATCGAATATGTTAACTTTTGAAAATTGACTTGGAGGTAGGCGGGAGAACAAAACTATCGTTCGCAGTTCTTCTCACCATTTCCGACAGCCTTGATTGTCATGCGCATTGAGTTTATCAGAGCATTTTTATTTCTGATAGGCATATAATACAACCCTTCCGACTAGGTAACATTATAGTTGGACGATAGTAGCTGTAGCATTCTAAAGCCAAACAAACCCTTCTGCTTAAGCCTAAGGCGGATCCAGGGCCGACGCGCGTTTCCCCCCCCCCCCTTTTTGAAATTTTTGTATGTAAAATTTAAATGTCCATTATCCTAAAATCAAGGAAAAATATCTATTTGTAAGAACTTGTCAGCTTACGGGGGCTTGGCCCCCGGACCTCCAAAAGTACCTTGCCTTAGAGTGGGGGCTACAATATATAGCCACCAGAAACCTCTGCCTAGCTTCTACTGTGTCCCCTCTACGTTACGAAATTCCAGGATCCGCCACTGCAAGCAGTGAATTCCACAAGTTCTCGATGGAGGAAAAATGATAGAAGTTACAAAATCAAGCTGGATTTGTAACTGGGAAAGTTTTTTTTAGAAAATCACTGGCTGCATTTCCAAGGCTTAAACATGCTAAAAACATTACGCATCCGACGTATACATGCGTTAGTGAAAGTAATACCGACGTAAAGCTACCGATTTCGCAGAATAAAATAAACCAAAGAGTTTCTTTCAGTTTTGGGGTGGTTACGAGTATATTATTGCCTACGGGAAATATGATAATTCCCTGAATATTACTTAAGCTAGTGGCATGATGAAAAGCCTTATCTTGTTGTGACATTGTTACGCACTGTTATGGTTGGTTGGAAACATTTCAAGTTATTCTCAGACAACTGAAAAAAGATTTGCACGCCCGCCGCCCTTCCCCCAGTTTTGGTTGCAGTATTGTCCAATAAGGGTAATAGAAGACTAATGCAGTGTTTAAGTAAAAAATATTTGGTACTAAAAGAAATAAGTTCACCCTCCGACCCCCCACCCCTACCCCACAACACACACACAGATACACACCAAATACTTATAGGATTTTTCTAGTCGCGAATTTTTTGTTTTGGTTTGTCAAGCCTTTTCAGGTAAGTTTGAAAAAAAATCCTCACAATAATGTTCATTCACGCATCTTAATTCTAAAAGTAAAAATAATAAATTGTGAGGTGGGAGACAGATTACTAAGTAATTATTCAAAAATGATCAATTTAAAAAATCAAGTACTTATATTTCTACCTGGGGCTTGGTGTAAAATGCCAATGATGGATACTCTAAAATGGAGTGACAAAGGGTGGCTCTTATGTCAATTTCAGTACATCCTTCATTCAGCAAAAGAACCCTCCCCCTTTACAATTATTCAGTCTGTCAATACTTTATGAGTTACTTTAAGGTAGTAGCATGGGACATAAATCTTTTCGTTGTTTATGTGCTTCCCTTGCACTTGGCGTCTATTATCTATCAAAATATAAAACAAAATCACTAGCCATATGTATGGCATGCCAAATTCACAAAAATGAGCTAAACAAAGTTTCACAGTCAATGAACTAGGTTTATCGGTTCTAAACTATAGTTTACGGACTGTAAAATATAGTTTACAACGTAAATCTTTATTTTACATCTGTAAACCATAGTTAACGCTATATTAAATATAGTTTTATGAAAACTATAATTAACGAATTTAAAGTATAGTTCACGGTTTGTAAACTACAGTTTACAGTCGATTAACATAGTTTATCAACTGTGAAACTATGTTTAGCTCATTTTATTTATTTGGCGTGGCATACATATGCCCTTTTGTTTTTGATATCCAAAGGTCATTTTTGGATTAAATCTCATATTTGTTGTTTTCAAATAGACCGTTTCTCATTCTTCATGTTCTATGTGAAAAAAATGACAGAATATGCACTTCAGGATAACTTTGATGTTTCTGTTTCATTCTGTCATTGTTACTGATTCTCCTTAACATACTTTATAAAATATTACCAAAGTGTTGAGTTTCAGGATAAAATAATTCATTCAGTCAGCTTCAGGGAATTCTGTTTTTTAATTGTTTGTACGCCCTGTTACATCAAATTAGAAGTGTATGTATATGTGTTAAGCGAGGAGGGGCAGGGATAGGATGAGGTGTTTACTTCGTATGTTTATTTTTGTATTACTGTGGACATGCAGAAACAATCAATTTTATTATAGGATGGAAAGAAAGAGAGAGATTTTTAGAACTTTTTTTTGCGTTTTATTTTCTTTTCATCGGTCTAGATTTAAGTAAGGAGTTACGCCGCGGTTACATTTTGCGTTATCCCATTGTGGGACGTGGAGACAACGCAAAATGTAAAATGAGACCGTATAAAACAAAATTTAATGTTTTTTTAGGTGCTGACACAAAAAGATCCCTCCAAATCGCATCATATATACTCGTTACCAAAATTGGAAACAGAGATAAAAACAACCTTGAAAACATTAACATCGCTTTTACGGACGTTAAAAATTTATACATTTCCTGTTTAATCAAATATTGGATAGATGGAGTAAGAAGTTCCTTCTGTAGTATGTTTTAGGTAATATCATTACATTGAATAAAGTTAAACTCCATATTCCACAGATAAAAGGTCTCCATGCATTTATTTCAAAGATCGTGAAAAAGGAGGGTTGTCATGGCGTCTACCATATGTACATTCGAGGTCGTTTTTCCGCTAGTCGGAAAGGCCCGAGAAGTTACGATTGAGATCCCTCCCTGCTCAATGGCTTTAGTGTCGAGTATAAGACAAAATTTGCAGCTCTCCACCGGCAAGTGGCGACGAACCATTTGTGTGAAAAATTCTCGAGAGGGACGTTAAACAATATACAATCAATCTTTTCATCGGCCACTACACCATTGAAAATTGTACTCAATCTGGCTGACGAAAAAAAGTGTGTTATTATATATTTATTGCATGATAGTGAGGGAAATATGAAGACTTATTCAGCCAAGAAAAACAACCTCCCCGAGGGCTTCGCCCGAGGTTAAAAATATTTCTTTCCTGTTTAGTCAAATGTTTCCCGAACATTCATGCAATGAATTTTTTATTATACCGAAACAAGC